ATTTTTACAATTATATACATTGTCTAATGCGATATTAACATGCAATTCTTTCAACAAATCATTTGAGTGCCCTCTACATGAAAGCAGTATGCCAGCCACTACAGAGATGGTGATAAAATGTTATCTTAGTGATGAGAGTAGATTTTAAATATAAGAATAATCTTTATAAGTTAAATTGTATTTTTTTGAAAATTCTTTTTCTGGGATGTCATGGGAACAAAAAATTCAGACTCACAAGAAGAATGTGGAAAATTGCAAAAGGTTACTCAAGAAATTGTTAAAATTCAGCAATCAAAAAGATATAGCAAATTTCACACTAAGCTGCAATCTACGAGAAGAGCTGGTAGCTGTCTCAGAGAGGCAAGGCATCTGCAACTCAATAGGTAAACTTGCATTTTTCTTTAAAGTGATAAGTATTGTTGAGATCTGTAGAAGTTACCAAGTCACCAGTAGGCCTTCCACACATTTAATTGGTTCTGATTAATGCTTCTTTATTTAAAAGTATTATTTAGCAATCCAGTTAATTCATTTTTTTTTCTCCATTCCTGCGATAGGCTCTAAACTGACTTGTGAAAAGATTGCCAAAGAACGATATGACAACATGATTCAACAACAGAAGTTGACAAGTATTTCAAAACAACAAGCTGCACAGATTTCCATACTACAGGCTGAAGTTGAAAGATTAAGGATGAAAACATTCCCTGCTCTTGTTCCAATGTGAAATCACTGGCAGGAAACACAAAGCCAAATTAATCATCATAAAAATCAGTTTATTTGGGTAAACTTACTGCTCTTTCTTTCATATGGGGAAATTTAAGTAAAGACACCTCTTGGCTTGCATGTTTTTAATAGCAGTTGTTTGACTTAGGCTTAATCCACATTACAAATTTCTTTCCTAAGTGAATAAATGTGTAAATTACTATGAGCGTTTTTACTCAGAAATGAGTAAGATTTTAAAGCAGAAAGTATTTAAGATTTATTTTATTCACTTAACCTTCATTAGACTAAAGACATGATCATATAAAGTCTTAAAGTCAAAAGAAATACTTAGCCATTGTTAGCATTTATAAACTTGTAAAATTCTAGAAAAGTTCTAAGCTTATGAGTGATATTTCTCTTTATGCTTTTCTATTTTCCTCAAGTTTTCTTCAATAAATATTTTTCTTTTATAATCAGGAAAAAAAACTACCCAGACTGTTTCACTGAGAACAAGATAAATTATTTACTTTATGTAGGACTTAAGCCATCTGTAAATTTCAACATGTTTTTTGAAAATATAATCTCTTATATTTCTTAGTTATTTGTGCCATCCCCAAGAGTGCTCAGCAAACAGAAACAAGAGCTTTCTCATTTCCATGAGGTAGTTTATCACTTCACGCACAGATGTTGATGCCTATATAATGAGATTAACTGGCCAGAAGACTTCTTGGCTCTTCCATAACCCGCAGCACTCCAAGGTGCTCTCACAATCACAATCTCCACCTGTGTCAGTGCTTCAAATTCTGTCATCTATATACTCAATGCTAACTTACAATACCATACCCAGTATCCTCTGCTATAGATAATGCAAGACAGCTATTATAAAATATTCCATTAAGAAAAAAAAACCTTTTCAACATTTATTTACTTGAAAGACACAGGAAGATGATCTTCCACTCACTGGCTCGTTTCCCAAATGTCCATAAAGCTGGGGCTGAGATAGGTCAAAGCCAGGAGCCCAGAATTCCATCTGGTCTCTTATGTGAGTGACTGGTGCCCAGCACCTGAGCCATCATTTGCTATCTCCCAGGATGCGTCATCAAGAAGCTGGGTTGCAAGCAGAGGTGCAAACCAACCTTCTGACATGGTATGTGGACACTTCAAGTGGCAGCTTAACCCACAGCATCACACGCCCAGGCCTAAGGGGAAAAAATCTCTATAAGACTTAATTGATCACTATATAGAATCAGTGCCCCAAGGAGATGGTAAGGGAAATGATAGGACTTTTTAATCATTTGAAAGGAAGAGAGCTAGAGTGAGCAAGCACACGCCCAACCACTCGTTCACTCCTGAAATGCACAAAATAGCCAGAGGGTCTCGGAACTCAATGCAGGTCTTCCACAAGGGTGACAGAAGCTGAACAATTTATGCTTTCAACTATCCATCACCTTCTGCCTCTCAGGGTACGTGTCAGGACAGCTGACATCAGGAGGAATCGGAACGCAAAACCAGGTACTCTGGACCAGGGACATGGACTTCCCAACCAGGGTCCTCCCTGCTGCACCATAGGCCATCGCTTTGAGGATTCCTTCCTTTGTGCTAACTCCTACAGTCAATATAGGTGATTCAGCAAACATCCCTTGGTACCATTTCCTACATTCACGGTCCTTTTAAATTCTCTAATTTAAAAGGTGTTTGGTATGGTGGTTAAGATAGGTTCAAATAGGGCCAGTGTAGTGGCATATCAGGCTAATCCTCTGCCTGCATATTGGGGCTAATTCATGCCCCAGCTGCTCCACTGCTGATCCACCTCATTGCTTATGGCCTGGGAAGGAGTAGAGGATGGCACAAGTCTTTGGGACCTTACACCCACGTGGGAGACCAGGAGGTAACTCCTGGCTGCTGGTTTTAAATTGACTCAGCTCTGGCTGTTGCAGCCATTTGGGGAGTGAGTCAGTGGATGGTAGACCTCTCTGTCTCTCCTTTCTTCCTCTATAAAAACCTTTCAGATAAAAATAAAGCTTAAAAAAATATATGGTTTGGATACTGCTTGGCGTGCCTGCATGCCATATCATGCTACCAGTTCCAGCTTCCTACCCATGCATATCCTAGGAGGCAGGAGATAATAGCTCAAGTATTTAGGCTCCTGTTACCCATGTGGGAGACCTGGATTGAGTTCAGAGTACCAGTCTTCAGTCTGACCTAGCAAGACTGGGCACACATGGAAGGAGTGGACCAGCAGACAAAAGGTCTTTCTCTTTCAAATAAAATGAAAATTTTTATAGATACTTTTTAAGGGTTTTTTAAAAAAATTATTATTATTATTATCCCTGAGACAGGGGAGCAACAGAATAGACCTAAGGTGTCTATGAAGACAAATCCTTTATAACAGACTGTCTGTTCTCTGTTATTGCTTTGAGCCAACCATTAAGTGTACCACACATGATTTTTATTTTCTGTTGATACAAATTCCATGTCACCTAAGTTGCCTGGGTACTCCACTGCTAATAGCCAATGCCACCAATTTCACTGGATAATGCTTTGTGAACTCCCAGGTCTAACAAACCAAGAAACTTGTATCATTTCTATTCATCAATCCTCAGTGATCTTGGCAACGTTCCTGGCATGACTGCTTCATGTTTGTTGCGTGATGGAGATTGGTGTTTTCAGAACCTTCCTGTCCTGAAGCTTGTTTCCCTTTTACACAGGAAACTTTTGGCTTGGGGAATTGGCAGGTGTTTGGGGAAGGGCACTTGAATCATGCACCCGTGTTCCTCTGTTGATACTGTTCATTGTACACACTCCCTCCAGCTTCTTTGGGATAATAATGTTATTTGTTTTAATCCTTTAAAATAGTACCTGTATTATCAGCTAGTGATGTTAAGTCTAAAGTATCACAGAAACAAAGAATGTGGTCTCTGCTGCCTGGGTTCCAAACCTGGCTCTGCCACGTAAGTTTTAAATAATCACTTAATTTTTAAACTACTCAAATTTCCTCATCTTTAAAACCAGGGTTTTGATAACTGTATACTCAAATAACTTTATAACGGGCGGCAAAGCAAACACAGTGGCTATTAGCATTCATCATTGTAAGATTCTCATGGGTTTTTAACAGATATATCGCAATAAATGCAGGAATAGCCCAGAGATATCCTCAGACCCCAAACTGTCCCACAGGCCCCATCCATCCCACCTCCTGTCTCCTTAGTACCTACTGTAACACTGGAACCCTCAGCCAGGAAGTGTCTGTAAATCTCCACTATCATGCCCCAAGCAATCCCAGAGCCAGATTCCATACTGGTGTGGTCTCCACAGATGGACACACACGGGTGACTCCGGGGGATGTGCCTGGGCAACAAGCAGTGCAGGGGACTGACTGGTAAGCACTAGAGTAGTAGCTCCTCAGAGGTGCATATTCAGGAATTCGAGAGTCAGGAGAGGCCCATGTGGTTGACAACCAGTGTTCTTGGACTCATAAAATTCAATGGCAATGTGATGTCTAGAAGTAGGAATGAGTGTACATGGATGTGTGCGGGCAGGAGCAAAAGTTTCCTGGCATGGGTACTAACAATTAATTGGGTGCAACAGCAAGGCCTCTACTATTCCAAGCATCTACAGTTTTCTTGATCATGGTCAGGGAGGAATGCTGGATAAAAAGTGTAGTGCAGGAGTAGGGAAAAGTCATAGTAGTTATTTATCAACTAGTAGAGGCATACTTTTTTTTTAGCCAAATTTTTTTTTTTTATCTCTGAAAGGACTCCAAAGGAGAAATCCACATACCCTCAAAAATGACTGACGACCAGGTCTAGGAAGCCAGTGGCACACAAAGCTCTCTCCCATCTCCTGCCTCTGCTTTTCTCTGTAAGCACACACATGATCTCTGTAAGCACACACATGATCTCTGTAAGCACATACATGATCTCTGTAAGCACACACATGATCTCTGTAAGCACACACATGATCTCTGTAAGCACACCAACTCCAGTTCCAAGAATTCCAGCCACAAAAAAGGACAGGCTTTTCCTGAGCTCAGTACCAAATTTCCAGGGACTGATCCAGCTTAGGTCATATCTCTATATATGGCAAGAACAGGTACAATTGTATAACTATGAGGTGAGTTTCTGAAGATTTGACAGATAACACTCTATACAATCTATTTTTGCAGACGAAGCTAGCAAGGCAAAGGAATGTGAAAGGCTACGTGCTGTGGCATATGACATAGGAGACAAGGATATATGGTTTCATTGTCTCAGCAGATGACAAATATAAGAAACAATCTAGAGAGACAGGCAGCGATATGATTTTGGACATAGGGATTTAATCAGCTGCTGGAACACCAGATACAAGTAGATAGTAAATGGGTAGAAACAGGTTCATGTAGGAAGGACAGGAGTTCTTAGACCACTTTAGATTTAGATTCACTAGGCCAGACTATTTTTTTATAACATCTTAAATAAAGCTTTGTGCCACCAAACTTCCCACCCCCCCAAAACAAAAACAAACAACAAAAAATATATATAAACTGGTTCCCAGAATTATCCAAATTATTTCTTTAACATGATCTAAACTTTTTGCACATTTCCCTAATTGTCAAGTTTCCTTTGGCCAATATGCCCAAAATACTTAATTCGCACTTTAGAATTTAGTCTGTATTTATACAGTAGAGGGCCCTATGTTGATGTTTATCAGAAACTCTTCTTTTAAGCCCTGAAATGTGCAAATATTTCATTAAATTACCATCCTCAAAGATATTCTGGGAAGAAAGTATATATTAAGCATCTGTGAAGTCTTCTTCACTTCTATTATAGTGTATCAACTTGTCATCTAACCCGTAGTGGTCTACCAGTTGAGTAATGCTTAACTTCTTGTTCTCTTCAGACAGAGCCAACTGCAGTTCATAAAGCAACAGCTGGCTACAGCTTCTCCATTTCTTTATTAATGACTGTAATTGAGACAGGTCATTCTGAAACAGAAAAAAAAAATATGAATGCTAGATAATTTGTGCTATTTTAACTTAATAAAGTTTTCACATTAGTTAATGTATAGGTTTAAAGCTTACTGTACTTAGGGATGAATGGGACTGGGCTAAAAGTAGAATTATTACAGTATCACCCAACTTGAGCCTTGTTGCTGTTGTGCTTAGTCTAAGCTCTGATCCAATTTAACCCTTAGAGAGTAATCAAATCATTAAACAGGATAAAATGATGTAAAGATGTAAACAAAGGAGGTGAAAAAATCCATTTTTTCCATTATAACTGCCATTTAAAAATATATCATGCTGTACCTTCCACTTAGTGTTGCTGTGAACTAAAACTGCTCTATAAAAGTGACAATGTTCAGGTTAAAAAATATTTTCATCATTATCTTACAAATTTTATGTAATCTTTAGAAAACAATCCTAAAATTTCAAGATATGCTATTTCTACAGTTATTCTACATTGCCAGAGAAGAATGAGCTCTATCATACATATGTGTTTCCTAATAAAGTTTGTCTCCTTCCAAGTCCTACTTAACTAAACCTAACTGGGTAGAAATCTAAAATCTAATACATATTTGCCTTCTCAAACAAAATGTGTGAAATATTTTCATTATGTTTGGGAAAACAAGATTACCAAACTACTTTTATTGTAGTCTGCAGCCCATATATTTCCCATCTGATTGAAAGGAACAGCAAGGAAGAAGCCAGGAGCATGGAGCTTCATCTAGGTCTCCCACCAGCTGACACCTGAGACATCATTTGCTGCCTCCACAAGGAATACAGCAGGAAGTTGGAGTCATAGCAATGTAGCTGGAACCCTAACCCACACTCTGATGTGGGATGCAGGCAACCCAAACACAATGGAACCCACTGTAACACAACACTCACCCCATTTTTTAAAAATATTATTTATTTGGCAGACTGGAGCAGGGACAGGTGGTGGAAAGACAGGGAGAGGTTCATCCACTTGTTCTCGCCATCAAATGCTCTCAACAGCAAAGCTAAGGGCCTCGAACTCCAGGTGGATCTCCTATGTGGCCCAGAAACCCAAGTACTTCGGCCACCATCTGTTGCCACCCAAAAGCATTACCACATTAGAAAGCACAAAGTAGCCAGAGCCCAGCCCAAACCAGGCATTCAAATACGAGCCGCGATGTTGAAAGCAATGGTTTAGCTGCTGAGCCACATTGCCTGTCCCATTTTTAGCTTTCCTAATTCATTGTAAACTGTCGCTCCTGTTCCCATCATACTTGCATATTAGATTTGATACTTCTAATATTGGAATGGGCTACAAAGTGGAAAGAAAAACTTCACATCTGATGAGCTGGAACTTTTAACAAGTCTAATGTTTAGAGGAATTTCTGCCCTGATTTACATTTGACTTAGTTACTGGAAGCCAGGTTTCTAGATATGTGACTTGTTATGCTATTATACATAAAATCTGGTTTCTTTTTCCTTTTTAAGATTATTTATTTTTGAAAGTTGAGGGAGACACAGAGAGAGATCTCTGACTCACTGGTTCACTCCCCAAATGGTTGCAATGGCCATGGCTGGTCCAATTTGAAACCAGGAGCCCAGAAGTCCATCTGGATCTCCCAAATACCTGGCCATCTCCCACTTCTTTCCCTGGAATGTTATGTTAACAGGAAGCTAGATCAGAAGCTGAGCAGCCAGATCTCCAACCAGCACGCTAATAGAGAATACTACTTTTCCAAGTAGCTTCCTGAAATTTATATAAAAACAAACAAAAAATTGTTATGAAATTCTTACCTTTGATCTATACATTTTGACTAATTTTAGCCTCCGAAGAAGATCTTCTTTTTCCTGAATCTGCTTCACCAGCTTTGTTCTTTCCTCCTTTAAGGTTTCTTTAGGAAGATTCTCCTTCACTAACTCATTCTGGAGAGCGCTGTCTGCCCTCACGACAGGTGAGGCAGAGTCACAACCACTGATGCTGCTGAACGTGTTTTCCAACTCTGTACTTTCCTTAGATTCCCTGTCTTTGTGTTTAAATCTTTGAGATTCCAAACAGTTTTCTTCCATGGAGGAGGCTGGCTTCTCTGAAAGGTGCTGGTCATTTTCTTCGTCATCTACTTTAAGACGTTTTACCACACTGTAACAGGAATTAAATGAAAATCTCGTTTTCCTCAATCTTTCTCTAAGGGTTGCACTCATAGGCTGAAAGGGAAACACAATATTACAAATGTCAACCAAGAAAAATCTTCATGTGAAGAAACACACTAGAAATAAAAGCCTTACAGTTCGATAGTAGACACCACTAGATGGCTTTCGGTCTCCACATATCTAAAGTAACCATCACAAAATGTCTAATGCCCAGAAGTGCCATTAACTTTCTTCTCTACCTCAGCAAGGTCAACACCCTCTAAAACAGTGCTGACACCAAGACCTCAGGCTATCCCAGGGGCTTCCGTGTTACAGACTGAGGAAAAGGCCCACTGCCACCAGAGACCTTCACCGTGGCAAGACTAGATTCAAACCTTCTCACTTTTAAGTGTTGTAATCATCTAATCTGAAAGTAAGTGAAACAAGCTGGTTTCACTTAAAAACCTGGCAGGAGCAGAGAAGAATCGTCAAGCACTGCATCTCAGAATGAAAAGTGGCAAGCTCACAAAATATCCAAGTGCAAATGAATACTCTTCAGATTTAAAACCATCCCAACAGTTAGAATGGATAGGCTGGAAGATGTAAGGTCTCCGTACTTGTTTTCCCGAGCTGCTCCTATGGGAACAGGGTGGATGCGCAGGGGTCTGTGGAGTGCTTGGTGATGTCACAGCTGAAACTGATGGGCTTTCCATCTTGAAAGTGAAATCTTGGTTAATCTCTAAAAATGAAAAGGGAGTTATAAAGTGGGATACCAAAGTATTTTTTTATTGGTGTATCAAACATCCTCAAGTCAGCCAGCAATTTCTTCTAATTAATTAGTTGTAATTAATTGCTCATAGTTTTGCAGGGTTTTTTAAGGACAGGTTTTTCAAGACAAATTAACTATCTCATAGAAACATGGCATTTTTTGTTATCTTTTAAAATAGCTTCAAAATCTGCATTACAGGGGCAGAAAAGAATAACAACTTTATACAGTATTTCTTTAAATTTGCTGCAACAGAGTCATAGTTAAAAGGTACAGGACGTAAATCTTGACTCGGAGCAATAATACATCCTGTGAACTACCCGCGAGCACTAAAAGCCACGTGACTGGAGCTAGGCATTAAAATGAGCAGAAATACAAATGTCCTACTGTCTGCAGAATTTAAAAGGCGAACTGACATTGAAAAGGCAAAGCCGACTTCAGCTGTTCCCGCAGACGTGGGTATCAGGTCGGCGGGGTACGTCCTCTCCCGTTGCGCACCCGGTCCCCGCCCCACAGCGGGGCGCCTGTGGCCCTCCAGACACCGCAGGCTCCTCCCGATCCCAGTCAAACACCTCTTCTCGGCTCTTCAGACCCCCGAAGTCAAGCTCTCACACACAGCCTTGGCCAATGCACACTAACGCCCTCCGCCATCCCCCCACATCACACAAAAATCGCGCGCAGCTGCGTTCCACAACCCGGGGGCGGGGAAAGACGCGGGATTGGTCAGTTTGACAGACGCGAGCGAATCCGAGGCCGCCAGGAGCTGGCCGACGTCATGGGGAGGGAGGGAGCGAGATTCGTGATTGGTAAGCTTACCGGAACACGCGGCACCGCCCCGTCCCGCCCAGCGCCCGGGCGTGGGGGGCTGCGCGCGCAGCCAGCTTCACCCAGGCTGGAGTCAGGCTGAGCTGTAGCTAGTGCCTCCTGAGGGGAGCGCGCTTCCTGCCACGGCTCCCTTACTGCGGCCCTGTTTCCGTGTGTCTGTGAGGTACGGCAGTTCCGCCCCTGCTCCCCTTCTCCAGGCTCTGGTGCGTCACCTCAGCCAGAGCTCTCCTCAGGTGTGGCGGGAGCCGGAAGGCACACGCCAGCTGAAAACAGTTTACAGCCCCCAGACCCTAAGGACCGAAGCAGAGCAGCGTCGGATCCCGCTCCAGAGGATCAGCCGTGATTCTTAGGAATCTACCCAGGGGTCCCGGCAGTCCCTGTCCCTTCGCTGCCACCAACTCGGAGGACCCGTCACCGGTTTTCTACTCTGTCTGCCTCCAAATGCTGGTTCCCTATTTTTAACTCAGATCTGGCAGGAGATGGAAGTCCGGCGACAGGTCTTGGAGCACTGCGCCGGAAGCAAAATTCCTGTGGAGCCCCGGGCGCCGCCGCCTCTGGGGGTGCAGCCCCGCCCGGACGCGGGTGTGGCGCTGCTGTCGCTAAGCGACGGCGGGGCTCGTCACCTCGGGTGCGGCTGCCCGGCTCGGGAAAGGCGGCTGAGTAACTCGTGACTCACGTCACGTCGGGAATTTTCGGGGTCCTTGTTTTCTCGGTCCTCTTCCCGAAGGGCCGTTGTAAATGGTGACACCTTTTCTCCGCTGACGTTTAGCTGGCTCAGAAGCAGCCGGAAGGAAGTCAGCGATGGAGTCTTAAGCAGTCCAGCATAAATACAGAACGCGAAGATAATGTCATGCGGAGATTTGGGGCATAAATGTGGGAGTCACGACGTCAAGCCCCCCCCCCTCCTGGCACTGTATTCAGTGTGCTTCCTACGGAAGTGCCCTGTGCCCTGGGTTCCTTATCTGAAAATGGGGACAGTAATTCCTGTCTCCTTTAGAGTGAGGGATTAAATGGGAACTCTTTCGAGGCAGCTACAGCAGCAGTGGGGAACTAAGAAGCACTCACCAAGTGTAATAACCATCCCAAACTGATTTAAAGGTATGTATCATGCAAACTTTCATTCCCCCCCTCCCCGCCGAAAGCAGATTTAAAAAAATAAAGAAGCTATGATCTGTAAGATCCCACACGATTTAAAGCATTAGTAGCCAAATTAAAAAAAAAAAAACCACTGCACATACAATTTGTAATACATATTCCCCTTCTAATTCCTTCACAATTATGTAAATGTACAAATCACAAGCGAGAACCCAGGCTTTTGTGATGCGAATTTGTTTACCCACCCCCCCACGGCAGTCCTTAAGTCTGCAATTATTTCTCCATGCACTGAGGGAGAAATTAATCTCAGTTGAAAAAAAAAAAAAGATTTGTCCTGACACTAGCAGCACAATACAAACAGGGCATGTTCTGTATTCCTCCAGGCATAAGGGTGGATTGTTTTTATGAGTCCCTAAAAGCAGCTGCTTTTATAATCACAGCCTAACCTAGGGCTGTATTTTTGCTGGCTGCATGAAGGAAAACAACACCGTGCTTCGCAAATGTTCTGACTTGCTTTGTGAGAACCAGCCAAAGCTGAGAAGACTTTCCGAACAGATACTCAGAAGAAGCTGCATTTCAGAAGTGTGCCTCCGCTGACCTACATCTCTGAATTCCATGAGTTGTCGGGCTTCAATTATATCTTCATAAGTACAAGTTTGTAATTTCCTTACTCTGATCACATACCAAATTGGACACCTGCCTTCTGCTCTGAGTTTAGTGTAAGAGATGTGAAATAGGGTTCCTACACTTCTCATTGTACATTTAGAGAAAGCCTACCAAATTCCGACCTGACATGTATTAACCTTGGGAGAGTTTGGTGTTTGCGACACCAGTCACTGTATGTTTCACCTCACAGTTTTCAGTACTACCCCAATGAGCCAGACAGCAAAGATGCCTTACCCAGCCAGAAAACAATCTGAGCAATGAAATTCAATGATGATAGTAATTAATACCAACCCTCAGTTAGGCCCTAAGTGTATGCTTTTAAATTTCTTTAATACCCTTGGCTATACTGTTGGCCACTTGTTACTCATCAGGGAGTGGCAAAACACAGCTTCCCTTCTTGCCCACGGTGATTATGTTAGATTGAAGACGTAGACCTAAAATTCTCTATGGTGTTTTTTGGTTTTTATTCTTTTTTTTATGGCAGGAAAATAGCTAGAAAAGATTACTGAATAGTCTCCGCCATCACACAGGTCACACAGAGACACTTTTAAGCTGCAGATAAAATTGTTGAAAGTAGATTTGTTTATTTATTTAAGGCTTACTTTCGGGTTATTTTTTGAATCTTAACAGTAGTATATCCAGATCTAAATTCCATTGTATAAGTTTTTATGTAATGACATTTTGGCTCATTTTTCTTCAAAAAGACAAATCTGCAGGTATTTTTAAAAATAAGTATAAACTCGCGAAACTAGGATTAAAATTCACCTAGGTAAAAAAAAAATTCACCTAGGTGAGAAGTTGTGTGAATCCCCATGATTAAGCTGATTTGTAATTTTCACTAAAACAAACTGAATTTAATGCAAATTTTTGATACAGAAAGTCTAAATTTTTAAAGCTTTTAATATTTCTGTGACATTTGTATATAAGTGACAATTGCCTTCAAAGACTCTTTCTGTTGCCGTGAACTCAAGTCACATCTTAAAGACTTAAATATTTATTATAAAAAGGTGTTCAGTGTTTTTGTCATTTCATAAATTTTCCTTTAAAAACAGCTGGCATTATTTCTGTTTGTTTCTTTATTACCTAAAACCTTTGTGCAGAACTCCAAAATATATAATTGCTTCACTTGTAGAGTCTGGGGAAGACTTTGTTATCAAAAAGGATGACCTTTGTGGGTTACTTGATTAATTATCTTTGGCAAAGTTAAGAAAGAGGGGATTTAATGTTGAATCCCAAGATGAAAGAGCCCTTGACTTAGCCATTTCACATTCCTGATAGGTTGTCTTGCTAAACAGGATGGTTACTTAGGACATGCCGATACAGGGAATGGCAACATTATTGGTGTGATAAAACATTGCCATCCTCCACAAATCGAAATTTTATAAAATTACTGATACTCCTTGGACAGGAACCTAAATATCTCCCTTCATCTGAAGTTCCTGTTCTTTTAGTCTACCAGATCTGCAATTTTTCTAGTCAAAGACTAGAAAAGCAAGAGTGTCTATGATTCACTGCTGAGACTGGGTGTGTCCCCTTGGAGAATAATAGAGTGATTCAGGTTAGATTAATAATGGTGAAAGGAGGGAGGGTGTGTGGGGTGGGTGGCAGCCTAGGAGTTAGACTGTGAATGGTAATGGAAATAAAAGTACTGCTCAGGGCCACATCCTTCTCAAGTCCATTATTAACTCTGAAATGTCACTGCTGCATTCATTTGGAGAAGAAAATGCATTATATGTCAGCAAATCCTTAAGCAACAGAACATGTCTTATAATCATCTTTGAACCACCTCGAAGCTTGGGAGATAACAACTCCAAAGATAATTTCACAGTATTGAAATCTGTTTGAAGTGCCGGCAACACAACTCTGTTTTCTACCCTTGCCTCTCATTACTATTTCAGTCCCGAAGGTATAAAAGTCTCACTTCTTGGTGATGTTTTTCAGATGAGGGAGCAAGAATGTTCGATGGTGCCCAGACAAGGATGTTTTGTGATACCACTGAGCTTTTTTGCTTCTTGTCTTCCATGCCTCAGCACACTGTTGGTAAGTATAGTGGTGGAAACTTGGGAGTCCAGTTCAGGATCTCAGAAATAGATTACAACTTGATTCCTTGACCGTCAGCCCACCAAGGAGAAGAAAACCCTAGGTCCCCAATGCTGAGGCAACATAAAATGTATTAGAATTTTACCCCCAACTTTGATTATGTATATTTATATACATAGCAATGGTGACTCGGTCAGCTTCCATTGTGCTATTCACTATTCCTTTGGCTCTGTTAGGATATGTGAATCTGTTCCCTCTTATGAGGGCTAAACTGGAGGTCTGCTTTCAATGGAACTCACACTTCTCAGACTTCTGAAAGCTTGTCATTTGGCAGACAGCATCCCATGCTATGAAAGAATATATGTTTGGGTCTGGCGGGTAAATATCCATATTTGTTAAACAAATTCCTATGAAATAATGAATCATAATCATCCCATTAATTAGAAAGTTTTTAAAGCCAGTATTAGTTATAGATTGGCATTGTCTAAAGTGCTTCCCTAGCCTAACTCTGAGCCATTGAAATAGATATTTTTAAAATTGTTTTTGTTTATATTTTATTTTTTATTTTGTTTACATAATTGATAAGGATGTATGCCCATGAGGACCACTGATTAGGGTGAAGAGTATTAGGGCATGGCAGAAGATAGGAGGGACAAATGCTTCCAATTTTTTTTTTCTTTTTTTCCTGTGCCTGAGAGCAGGTGGGGGAAGCAGAGGAGGCCATTCTTACGTGCCAGACTACATCAGCACCGGGGAATGAGGAATAGCCACTTGATGTCATCTTAGAATCCCTGATATAGAGAAGAATATTCTGAGGGTATTGCTTGAATGGTTGTAATAGTTCTGAGACACTGTTGGTTTTGTTACTCCAAGGCTGAGAAAATCCGAGATCTACTGGGGGACAAAGTCTACCTTAGTACATGCAGTTGCCCAGACACTTGCTGCCAAAGCTTGGCCAGGAGAGTTGGCCAACCTGTTCTGCTTTCTATCCTCTGACATGGCACTCAATGTCCTCCACAAGCATAAATGAACTGACTCTAATGTCCCCATGTGCATCTGGACATGCTGTCCACTGCACAGGCATCAGCAATTGAGGAGGCCCAGTCCTGATACACATTCATTTCAAGGTCAGACCAAAAATCCTATGAATTTCCCTATAGACAGAGTTTTGAATCCAG